CTCGAACTCAATATTCAAATTCTATCGTGAGAAAAAAAAGCCGCGAAAAAATCCGCAATAATTATGCATCAACCTAATAATATCTGCTGTTGTTCAAAGTACATTAGTTCCTTGATTCCATAAGGTGCTGTTTCCCATAATAGCTCAGGTCCAAATTCCTTGCTGGCTTTTCCGTATGTTGAGTGTTCTACGTGGTTTGTTTATGAAATGGGAAGCAAGGATTCAAAGAGTCTACAGTTCTCAAAGAAGGAAGGGTTTTACATTTTCAGAAACAAGAGACTGACGAGTGACTCTTCCACTTTCTCATATCAAGTATGCATTGAAGCATACACCCTCCACCCCCTCAGGGTGAGCGTAAGCGCAGGCGAGAAGAATGGTCGAGTTAGATTAGTTTTCGGGGAAATTACAATGTTACAGTTTCTAGCTACGAATCTCTTTCTCTGAAAGTTCTCTCTCTCACTGGAAATTCCCAGTGTTAGCGACGAGAGTATGTAAGTAGGGCGTCCCCAGATGGCGGATAGGGGACTAAATCGCCAACCAAAAGTCGCCAGTACTTGCCCAGAGACGCATGTGGGTTCAGAGGATGGACTTCTTGATGCGTGCTGGGTCGATATATCATCTGTTTCTCGCAGGCGTATCCACGCATACGTGTGTGGAGAGAGTTGGGATCCTGGAGTCAACCCAGTCCCCACGTCAGAGTCTGGCCAGCTACACGTTGGGTATCAATTAGCCAAAAACCTAATACAAATGGGCCTCATTCTCCCGAACTGAAGGAGTCCCCAATACGGCAGCGTTGGGTAGGACCCTCGGGAGAGGCTGCTAAAATCTCTGGACCGAAACAGGCTGCCCATAAGGAAAAGGACTAAGATGGCGACCTGTACTTTCAAAGCACGGACGCTTGCATCGGAAGCGTGTATAGTGTATCTGATTATGCGAGCTAGGAAGATCAAGGGCGACGTCATCGGACTGACCGAGACGAGAAAGCATCGCTCGCTGCACGCTGTATTTGAGACAGGAGAAGAGCTTTTTTGGAACGTGCGGCAGAGGCGTCGGCGGCGTAGGTGTCCTCGTCAATACGCAGTTGGCCATGAGTATTCTTCATACGAAAGCTTAACAACCCGAATCGAACGTTTGCGATTGAGATGTGTCTCAACCCCAGCTCTAACCATCTTCGTTGCCTACGCACCAACATCGAACTACGAAGAAGAGGAGTTGGAAGCGTCCTATGTGGGTCTGGAGAGGCTCTACAGAGAAGGCCACATTTTCTTTAAGGTCATCGTCGGTGATCTCAACGCCAAGATATGTCCTAGAAGTACGGTTTAAGAACTCCATATCGTGACTCACGGAATGAAATGGAAAGAACAGGATGAAAGGCTGTCGGAGTTTAGCACGTCGACCTACGCCACCCATGGTAACTAGCAGTTCCAGAAGCTCTCTCATTTGTGATGCATTTGGGAGTCACATGGTGGACAGTTCCATTATGAAATGAACCCCATCATCTTTAACTGCAGTTGCTGCCTGACTGATTTCGCTGTTGTTTCGAAGATCTACATTGGATCGGACCATTGTCTCCTCTCGCTAGATTCTACTTCTCAGGGAGTGGATAGAGAGCTAGGAAGTTTAGGAAACGGAGCACCAAGGCCTCCATCAATTGAGTCCATTTTGCTTTCCTTGCGCGTGAATGGAAAGATTCCGTTACCGACAACATCGATGAAGATTATACTATCGGCTCTTCGAACATCTTCACGATAGTGCTAGGAAAACAGAGAGTCTACAAGAAACCAAAAGAGAACTCTCTTTGGAGATTTCCGAGCTGATACGCAGAGCGGAATTACGTGAGCTGCAGGCAATCATCAACAAACGTTAAAAATTGCGAAGCTATGCAGAGAAGCGATAAAGGAAGATTTGAAAGAGAGAAGATCAGCAGCCATAGACGACGCCGCTGAGGCTAAGAAGAGCATCCGCAGAGCCCGGTGGAACTCCGTCAACCATAAGACCTAGATGAATTTCTTTCGTCGTCTAGATGGGACAGTTACTGCATCTCGAGGGGCAACGGGAATGTCATCTAAGACTTCTTCTTGGATCTCTGCGACAGCGTCGGCTGCCTGCCTACCCACCGTCTTGGGCAAGACGAACATATCGCTCTTTCGTTTCTCCCTTCCAAAATTCAGCATGCCCTCAAGTCGATGAAGAAGAGTAAGGCGCCCGGTCCCGATACGAACAAACCGGAACATTGAAAGGGTCTCTACCCCTTACCGTCAAAACTCTGGCTAGGCTCTCAATGCGGTATCTGTCGGAATGCAAAGTGCTCGCGCCGTGGAAAACTAGCAAGACTATGTTGATGCATAGAAAGGAAGATCTCGACGATATTGGCAATTATCGCCCAATCTGCCTGTTGTCTGTAACTTACAAGCTTTCCGTTTGGTACGTGTACAGGTGGCAGTATGGGAACACGGACAAAAAGGTAGTAGTGACTGCGCTGAACTCCACCAATGGCGTGTGGGAATGAGAGGAGGCGGATGGAGGGGAGAGTAACGTGAAAGGAACGTATGTTTAGAGCGCAATTCTAGTAGAAATACGAAATCAAGTTAGAATAGGTGGGGAATAAACCGAGCTACACAAACACAAGTCTTAAGCAGAACCTCGCTCAAGGCGCGTGATTGGCTCCGACTGGTTATACTCATAATTCCGTCCAGAGCGCACGAAGTGGGTCGGGTTCAGTGTGCGTTCTTGGCCGGAAATCAGTGGCTCCCGTTCCCCGGACCAGAGCATTCAAAAATGAAGGTGGTGCAGATGGTGGAAAACATGAAAACGTCAGCTGGGGGACCCGTCTGACCATCCTCATAATTCCGTTCGGAGAGCAGTTCGGCAAGGTTGAAAGGTAGATATGTAATCGGCATTCGAGAACACGTCAAGCAGCATAGGTCTCATTTCAAACGGCCACATCGACTTGGGGTCCTTCGCTGGCTGGATCCCAAGTCGAAGAGGCCGTTTGAAATGAGGCCTCTACTGTTGGACGCGGGCTTCGAGCTCTAGTAGAGGATCTGCCTCTTTTCTTCGCTTTTTCAATTCTCGTATCAGTGCCTCTGTATGTGATAGGATTTGTTGTTAAAAGCGCAAATGAACTTCTTGCCAGCAGTGTCGAAATTTCTGGTTGAATTATCAGATTGATTTTCGAACATCGTACACCGTCAACGAGACTTAGTAGTTTCTAATTGATTGAAGAACCATGCGTCCCCTCGATTCTTCAGTTTATGAAAAAGTGCCTGGGTGATTTAATATCTGGCGCCTGATCTTAATGATGACGAAAAATTATTGAGTGCGGCATCTCGAGATGTGACCGATATGATGATATGGCACGATTTCCAATCAAGAACTTCAATGAAAAAGTGGAGGATTGTATCGATTTATTATAAGTCTATTTGAAGAAAGAGTTGTAGCTGCCAAAAATTCAGCGTAACTGAACTTTTTTATAAGTCCCTACACTGCAGACATGGTGATGTGCACATATGTACTCCATGATCGCAAGTGATAAAGTTGATTTTCTGAGAAACTCCAGAAGACTTTTCAAAGTCTCAATCCACTATCACATGGAAGCTCGTTCAAACAAACTCACCATGAACCCACTGTGTGGTTCTACAGGGATGGTGCAGATCGTACATTGCTCAACTGTTGGACTATCTTTTCAGTTTATCTCTCATGAAAGGAAAATGCCCAGCCGATAAAAATGTCTTTTACAACACACTTATTAAAAACGAACTACCGCCCTACGGATATTATCTCTAATTTTGCCTAAGCGTTTGAAAAAGTCAATTGAAAGAACCTATCAGAACACCTCGTAAAAGATAACGTGGTTTCAGACAATCGATGTGGTTTTTGGAAAGACAGATCCTGGGGGGACGGCGCTACTCCCTTCTCTAAATAATTAGGCAAGAATCATTTAATTAAAGCAGTTGAGAGTTGATATTACATACTTGCGGTTCTCCAAGGCGTCTGTCACAGTGTCCAGAACCTCATAGGCAAACTTCGCTCTCGAAAAAGGTGCAATTCTCTTCATTTTTGATTTACACTTTTGATTTTCTTGAGACTTCTCCCAATTTGGGACCCACCTGGGTGATATAGGAGGATGATATACCATCTGTATAACCATAGGATCAACGGCTCACGTAATTAGAAGAAGATCACAAGAAGTATGTATAAACCTTCGGAATTCGTGAGGGGCGCTGTTTTTCAATCAAAAACAGTTTATGCGTTGCCTTGGGGGACGGTCAAGTCGTGCGTCCGAGGGTGCGCGCGGCAAATTGCTCGGCGAGACCCACAGCTATTCTGACGACTTTAGCGCCTATTATTTGGGCCCAATTTCGAAGTACAGTAGAATAGTAGGATCAGCTGACCTTACTAATCTACCTTACTTCAGATTTGGGCCCCAATGATAGGCGCCGGAGTCGTCCAAATTCGACACGAACTTCGCCGCGCAATTTGCCGCGCGCACCCTCGGACGCACGACTTGACACACACCCGTTGCCTTGGACCGACTCCTAGGACATTTTCAACGTCGCTAAAAAAAAGTTAACAAATCCCTTAGCTTCAAGACGTGCGATCGGTGAATTAGTAATAGCATTTAAGGTTTTGACTGATGAAGTAATTTTGTTCTGATCCATTTTCGGAATTGTCAAAAAGAATTCTAGAAGAAACAGCTTCGAACTTGAAGTCAATCTCAGGTCAGGTTTGGAAGTGTTTCTGCTCGTACTCTTGCTCGTCTTCACAACCTTTTTGGTCACCACATACTTGGGTTAACCGTGGCTCACTTTTCATAGGAATGGTTTCCTGGTATAATGATTTTACATATTTGTTTCCAAATCACTCGTTCAGGGGCTTTCTTTTACATGTATTCGTTGTCCTCCTTACCTCAACGTGTTAAAATTTTTTCTAGAGGCATAAGTTTCGTGTAGCAAAACTTCTAATGGTAAGCTTTGTTCGTTCATGATAGTTTGTATGCTTTACCCATTCATGTGGACTACTGTCAACATCCTTAATAAAAAATAAAGAGACCACCTACCGTCTGAGCCTGGTCCTCCACTCGTCCCTGGCGGTCCGTCCTCCCCAGGGGAGCCTTTGGCGCCAGGAATTCCGTTGTGCCCGTTTCTACCAGCACTCCCAGCCATACCCTGAGAACCACCTCGCATTTATGTTTGTTCATATATACTTTTTAAATACTTAAATCGAGCTTAAAGGTCAATCACGCGTTCATCTTGGACATGCAATCCAAATACCGGTAGGTACCTGTGGTCCTGGTGGTCCAGGTGCTCCCTGCTTTCCTTTTGATCCAAAGGGGCAGACCATGCAACCATCAATATGCTGATAAAGGGTTGCTGGTAGGATTCCGGGAGCACCAGGCAATCCTGGCGCTCCATTTTTGCCATGAATGCCATCTTCTCCAGGGATGCCTGTATGTATTATAAAAGGACAAAATATCGATGACAAGGTTTGATGTATAATGTGGGGATCAAACCTCTTCTTCCAGGAGCCCCTCGAGGGCAATCATTGTGATATTCGCATTCGCAATAATCGTATACTTGACGGGAAACGCGACTAGATTTCGCTTCTGTTCTAAGTTCAATCCATACCCTTTGCTCCAATTCAGCGAAGGCGGATAATTCATTGAGTAGTAGCGAACGTATTGCCGAAATGCGGTACCACATGAATGGCAGAAAGCTACAAAAATTTACACATGCTTCCGATTTACGTATCTCTTTATAATAATAAACTGTCANAATGTAAGGGTTAGGCCTGCATCGGGAGCTATGATTTTAACGCTATCCCCTTTCAAAGCAATCCTTCGCATATGTCTTACAGAAGCAGTACTGCTCTAGCGCCCTCGAACTGCTACATATTATCTTGTCCGCACAACCACTGGCTGCCTTCAGAGCTCGGCGGTATGCCTTCCGAGTGCCGGTCGGCTTCAGCGCTAGCCACTTGTTGACAACACTGGCACGTGATCCATCGGCATACAGTGTTGTCAATAAGTGTCTAGGCCCCCGCTGCCGGCAGGCACGCACGCTCGGGAGGCATACCAGCGGACTCTGAAAGCAGCCACTGTCTGAAGATTTGCCGCGTGACGTAGTACTTACTGGTTAGTGACACATTTCAGGCTTAACTGTGCGATTCGTAGCAATAATGAAACTCACTTTATTGCTTAGTTAAATGATTCCAGTCGATCAGATAGATGCACTTATTAATAGGAATTATATTATAACCTGTTCTATGACTTGAAAAGTTCCAGAATCTACATGTCGCAATTAGTAATTTTAGTCTCAAAAATGCGGGATGGCTCAAAATATATCGCTCGTTGGATATGAACACTGGTGAACACATACTGAATTTCGTAGTCCTAGGTCTATCTTCAGTGAAAAACCACTTTATATAAAGCGCTCGCGTCTGTCTGTTCGACCGTCTATCTGTTTGTACGGGAAATCGTAATTCCTGTCCCCGTGGACCTAGGACGTTCAAATTTGGTAGGAGCACAAGCGGTAGGATGGGAACTCATGTGGTGAGTGGCAGGACCGGACTCCGCCCAAAGTAAGCTGAGTTTGCGCGAAATAAATGTTTGAGCGGAAAATAATAACTTCTATCTCAGTGGACCTAAAAACTTAAATTTGATAAGGGTACCGGAGGCAGGTGGGAACACTAATGGTGGGTGGCAGGATCGGGCCACAGAGGACGGGGTTTGCGCCAAAATTGTCAATTGGGCGCTTGGGCGTTCAAACTTGGCGGGGGTAAAGGCGGCAGGATGGGAACACTTATGGTAGGTGGGAGGCCGCCCATAGAAGGCGGGGTGTGCACGAATTGGCTCTATTTAGCAATATGATGTGGAGAAGCCTCTCAGCTATTTCGATGCCCTTAATATGTGCAATGTGGTTCTTCCTTCAGCCTAAATAGTGATGGAGGACATGAAGGTCGCGGAAGTTAGGGAGTGGCTCAACGAGTCACAGAGGGAGCGCGGACAACTAAACATGCACGTATGGAAGCAAAGCGCTTGTGCCACCTACCAGCCGATTGCAAGGAAAATGAAACGAGAACAAGAAACAAAACAGTTGAGCAGAAGTACGGCAATCTTTGGCGAACGACTATAGAACTGTTCGTACTATAATGGCATGCCCAGTTGCGAGACAACCAACTTGTCTAACCGACCACCAACAAGGCATGAAGCCCCAGAGAAAATAGTTAACGTCGGGCGGTTTGAGCGATTAGGGAAAACGCCTCGTGCTCGGCGCAAGTTATTTTTCCAGTCCTCTTCATATTTGAAGCCCAAGAAAAGAGCGAACAAAGTGAGACAACTCATTATCATGTTAGTTATAGAATTTTGAATTCTTTATCATTTGTAATTATAGGAAAAATGAAAATGCTAGCACCTGTAAAGAGCGACAATGGCCAGCAGAGAGGTGAAGCTGGCGATCTGCAGGTATGCTTTCCCTTTCATCTGTAGAATCTATGTTATGTATGTTAAAATAAAATTGCATCGTATAAGCCATCTGTCGAAAAGATTGGTAAAAAAAAGAAAAGTCGGCAGGTGAAGTCCGGGCAATAACAAGTGAAGAAGTATCCGCACGCGCGGGACGACTATGCGGGACAAAGACGCCTGCTCGCGATGCGTGAGTGTTCTTCATCTGGCGTTCCGGCGATTTGGCCACCGGTCGAGTGACAGTTGGTGGGTCAATTCCAACAATAGTGCGAATACTTTTGCTGTGAATCATTAGTACTGAAACACCATTTCCAGCGGATCAAAGTGAATTGTTTGGAAGGTACACGCGCGATTCCTTGGTTTTTGAAATCAATATGGGAATGTTAATATTGGGAATGTACGTAATATCACCGAAGATTTGCTGAGCCTAGTGATCCAAATCGGCGAAGCTAAATACAACCCAATACATATAAAGTAGGATGGGATAATGAAGTGCATATAACTTCTTTTGTTTTTGTTTTTTTTTTNGGGGGGGGGTAATTCCGCTGAGTTGGTAAATATTGTCCAATTGTCCACCATCCAGAGCTAGCAAAAGATAACACAAACCACAACTCTTGAGACGGAAAATGTGTCGACTGGAATGGAGCTTATAAAAAGCATAATTGAACCTAACCACGACAAATCTATAGAAAATATGCTTATTGCTCTCTCAAAGACGATCCCCATGGAGTATTCAGATCTTTTTGAGAGCGACAAACGGGGCCATAACATAATTGTTTCAGGTTTGGAAGAAGGGCAGGTTGGGAGCATCTGACAAAATATTCATGGTTTTGGATACCTTGGATGTGGAATGCCGCCCGGTTCAAATGCGCCGTGTGGGTAAGTCGAACCCCAAATGCCCTCGTCTAGTGGAAGTGATTTGGCATCGGGTTCTCGTCTGCACGCCCACTACGAAGCGCTTGGCTGCCGAACGTTTTCAAACGTAATGGACAACCGAGGGTGAGAGGAAACGGTAATATGAGCTACGCTAAGAAGCTTGGCAACGTAATAAGGGTAGTGGCACTCGTGAATGAGTTGCCTATCGAGGTCGATCCGCACGTCAGGGAAAACGCTAACGTTGGTTGTTAATTTTGTCCTAACTTACTTAACGCCCGCAGTCTCTGTAACAAGATCGACCACCTGCATGCCCTTATTACTTGTTTGCTTTTTGTAACCGGGGCATGGCTCACTTCGAGCATACTTAATCCCGAGATATTAGCTGCTTTCCCATATTTGCTATATCGCTTGGATTGTAAACAGGGTAGAGAAGGTGGAGTAAGCTGCATAGTTAAAGATAACCTTTTTAGCCATCCCACTGCAATAAGTTGGTCTATGAAAGCTAGAGTTCTCTGCCTTGAACATTTTCACCTAATGAATGCTTTGCGAATCCGCTTTAAACTCGTGTATATACTACCGATTTTGAACAGAAAGGAGGACGAAAGGTTTATCGAAGACTGGGTGAACCTGCGCGACTTTAACTCAATTTCATCCACTATTTGAAATCCCTACAGAATTTAGCTCGGAGCAAAAGTCTTTGCACCAACCCATGGCAACAATACCCTCGATTTGATCTTATCCACCGTGTCCAACTCCGATAGCATCGCCACTGGCGAATTTTGACCCTGCCTTCATTAGCTTCAACGTGACGGAAGAGTTTGCAGTGGCCAATACCCTCCCATCCGCTGGTTTTCTGGACGTTGACTATGAACCTCTTGATGAGTATTCTTCGGCTAGGAGTGGCTAATGCTGTTCGACAAGTACATTTTCGCTGACGATGTTTGCCAGAGGTTCTACAATCTATGGTGCTCTCACAAGATTATTTGCTCTCACAAGTTAGTCAGTTATTTGCACCAGGACCCACACGTGCGCAATGACCCACTTGTATAGCTCGTCCAAACGCCCTACTCTTCTTCATTCTTTTGGTCTCGTTCTCGTCCAGCCCCCTTTTTAGTGATCTTTCGAAACCTTTTTCACTTTGGAAACACCGATTCACGCAGTTCCTTCGCCTTCATCCCACTATCTTCCATTTTTCGTCATAACCTTGATTACCAAAAATTATCGTGCACTGTACCTTTAAACGAATGCGAGTGTCGCAAATGATAGCCGAGCCGACCTCGCTCCCCTATAGGAGAGCACCTCCACTCCGACACTGCACTCCTTCTGGCCGTTGCGGGCACTGCACATTTCAACTGGCACTACCTCTCCACGCATTGAGTAGCAAACTTCGAGGGATCACAACTTTTTCGATAGCAATTGAACTGAAGGAGTTGAAAGTCCTCGCTGGTCAGACATGCTGTACAGTTTTGCCTGTAATAACCCTGATTTACGGCTCGACTGCTAGCTTAACGGCTGCAGAGCGAAAGCGCTTCAGCAATTTCCGACCAGGGACTACATGCTTGCAGATATAGTTTAGCAAAAGTTTTCTGACATCAGATGAATTTGAATCGCGAAGGTAACCAGCCAAAACGAGCCCTCAAACACATGAAATAATCACTGCAGTTAGTCTTCAAAAATGAATAAAAGTAAACGTGGAGTTACTGTAGTTGCAGTCAGTACGCAATGGCAGACTGCTACCCATTGTGTAAATAAATGGCACCCGCTTCTGATATTCCTTCATGGTTTGCTTTTAGTGCTTTCATTTCCCGATGTAATCGTGTGTGAGATTGCTCTAGGGTGACAGTGACGTCTCGACTGATTTGAACAATTCTTGTTTGCTTTTACAATGTGGAGGGTATCGTGTTGACGCAAATGAGGCTGAGCAAAAGATAATCTCCGGTACAAAAGGGCTTTTTTCTTTTTGTGTCGGTTTTCCTGGGCAGAAGGCAGAGCAGCAGGTAAATAAGTCGAAGGGCTAAAAATCCATGATGTCACGACACCTTTTCGGGTACCTCTTTTCAAGTACTTTTTCAAAAGCCGGTGTCGAGTTGAGAATCCTTCCTGCATCTGCCTATTTTTTTTATTCTAGACTCCAACGATGCAGTAGGCAGGCTAATAATTGTCATGGTATAATGGTAGGGATTACTGAAGGACACATTTTCATTATACTTGCGTTTTACCCAGATATATGCGTAAAAACGCACCTCTGCGTTTCTACGCATATACCTGCGTAGAAACGCAGCTGTCTGGGTGAAAACGCAGTTCCGGCTAATACGCCGACTAAGTTGTCAATGTATACTAGGTCATAAATGAGTTGCTGAAGTCAGTGTTCTTACTCGGCCGAGCAATACCACAGAAGGGTTTATGAAGTACCAATACAGGTTTTTCTGGGAGGCGCTTCATTTGTTGAACTAGTTTTGCTGATCGCAGAATAACCGTAATGAGAGGACGATCTGCTCGCGGAAGCTTTTAAAACTGTCTTGAAACTGATAGGCATGATGATTTCTTTCTTCGTGTAACAACGAATAACTTCGAAATGTTAATGTGTTGTGCATCTATTATTCAATTTGTTTCATTAAGGTTTGCGATTGAATCCATGGATTCAAGATGTATTCAGTGATGCATGGCAGCCCGAGCGAAAGTTCCAGGCACAATTTGAGTTGTTAGTAATTTCATTGGCTTATAGCTCACCTTCGAAGTTTATCGTTACAATATAATGCATGCATTCGATGATCTCTGAATTTTTGCATGATAACACAGAATCTGGAACGCGTTTTGGAGAGACGAATAAACCTTGTTTGTTTCAGTGAAGAATTCGAGAAGAATGAACGGAGACGCTGAACCCTTGCTCCGTTTTTCAGAAGCAAAGAAAGTTTTAGGAGATATTTACACGGATTTGGGAAAACATGTGGATGAATTGGATGAGGTTTACAAAGGTCTGTTCCCTTGTTCTTTTTTTAGCTGTCATGTTTGTATGGGTATATGATAGCGCCAATGTCATTAAGAGTTGTTTAAATACCCTTTTCTTCATAACAAGAAGGATTCTATGCGCATTAACCAAAAAATAACTTGTCCGATTTGATATCAGTAGACATCGTTGTCATTAAACTTTTCTAGCACCACTAGTGGGGGCACACCTGCTGTGAACGACCTTTCCAAACGACCCCTTCTCAGCAGCATTTTAAAACCGCGAGGCGGCGCACAAGAATTGGCGCCTTTGTGTGTGTCTCCCTATCCAGAGATCTCATATTCCTGAATAAGCTCTAGGAGAATTCGGATCACTTTTGATATGGGTGAAGCATAGGGCAACAGTGAAGTTTAGGCCAATAAGAGCTCATGGAACTCAGCAGAGCTCCACACATGCATCAGAATGGCTGTGCAAGGGGCGCAATCTTTTCATTTGGTTCCTGATCAGCGCAGGCAGCGAAAGGAAATGGACAGAGGTGAGGAGTGAGTCAACAATGAAACTAAGAAGACACGCGTGAGCGCGTGCCACAGCAAAGTTGAATCTTTCGGTCTCCATCGTTTGGTCTTTTCTATGGATGTACCGTGTAGACTTTCTACCAACGTACGACTGCTAGAAGATTGATCTCTTAAAGAAGATACGTGGGTCGAAGCATAGTATATCTGTAGTAATGGCGTTTTGGTAATGCAACCAGGAATAGGGAAGGTTCAAGTAATAGGATATACAGCTGTCGAAAATAAATTAAGTGGCAAACACGTTGCGAAAATGCGTTACTTGTTGATTTCTAAGACTTTAAAAGGGTAAATCTCTCCCGCTGCTAAATTTTCAACTTTACATGGAAGTGCGAGACCAGTGTAGCAATAGAAGCGATGATTGTTTCCTACTTCGGTAGCATATGCTATAGTCACAGCAAAAGTGTAGTGGTGAAAGTCCAGTAGAGGTGATTTTGTTGAACGAATAGCAAAAAATTGATGGTCCGTACCAATAGTTCAGTTTTAAAGCTCATTGCGCTTTCATATATCGTGCATATCTCGAAAGCATTTGCAAAACTTGGTTTTTGTCAGGGTGCCCCTAGACCTTTCATTACTTCCCCTTTGTGTGACTTTATTGAACCTCCCTTGCATGTTTTCCAAACTTCTGAAATTGGTATCATTCCTGTTACTTTGCAGGTCTCGGGGCTTACACGAAAGGCGCCGGAGATGGGTCTGTATCACTGGTCCCGGCCGAACAAGCTGATGAAATAGCTCTTTTCCGTGATTCCATAAAAACAATCATGGAGACATTCAGAAGGGATAACATGAAAGTCGTTTTCTTCGGAAGGTAAAGTAAACTTCTGTGTTTAACCTTTGCCAAGAAAACCTTAGTGAGTAGCTTCAGAACAAGCAATGGAAAAAGTACGACGATAAATGCCATGCTTCACGCGAAAATTCTTCCTCAAGGAATGGGTCATACAACGTGTTGCTTCTTACAGGTGATTTGACTATTAAGCTCCTCCTACAGTTTTATATAGTACATTTAAAAGCAATATGTAACAGATTTACTGCACCTCTAGGAACCTGTTTGAGAGTTTATGGTTTAACTTATGTTTGCCTTTTTAGTACACTTGAGTTAAATAACAAAGCTCTGTGAAAAGTAGAGGCGAGATAAATACTGTGTGATGGCGAATTGTGCCTTTCAGAAACCTGTAAAGTTCATTTTTTGGAGCATTGACCTCTACGGGTAGCCTTTATGTTTATGTTATGTTTAGTATGGTGTACCGTACCAAATTACAAAAGTTCATATCTACTCTCTGTTCACGGCTTCTTTCTCAAAAGCTGGTAGTTGCATGAACTCAGAGATGAATGTTAATCATCTGAGAATAATGCCAATTTCGGCAGACGCCCCAAAAAACTTTCATCCTGAGAGGTTCCGGAGAAAGAAAAGTTCCGAAATAGTCCATGTTCGACTTTCTTTCAATCTTGGCATAGTTGTTACATTTAAGTCCGAATATTTTGTCTTTCATGCCTTCCAAGATTGCCTAACTTTATTAGGCTGACGTTTCGGCACCTTCGCCTTCGTCGGAGCCTAAATGGTCTAAAGCACTCGTGGCCCGCTCGCCTACACGCCTTAACAAAAACTGCAAGAACGTTCAACTCGATAGCGAACTCTCAACGATATTGACCGGTATGGATCAAAAAGGCAAAATTGTTTACCTTGAAATCCACCGCCAAGGCAGACCGACCACCTCGCACTAGCTTCACTTACAAATAACGAAACACCTCGCTCTGACCTCATCGCAGATTAAAGGTCACAGAGGTTGAGGAAGGGTGCGAGTTCGCGGGTTACGGCTACACACTCATCTTAATCAAGTCTACTCATCTAATCATCTCATCTTAATCATCTCATCTCGGCTACTCAAGGAAAGTTCCGAAATAGATTAGGCATTCCTTGGAGGGAGATTAGAAATGATAGGTTGTCTACAAAGCTTGTGCGAATTTCAAAGTTTTCGATTTAAACATCCGGTTTCACCTGTGGTCCCTTTGATCATAAATTTCCTTGAGCGGGTGCCAGTAACCTCTCCACTGATCCCTGTAGTGAGCCATAGTGGTCTAGTGGATCGTACTCGCTAGGACACGGGACATAACACTCCTTTCGCTCAGAGCTTTCGTGAAGGAGTCTTGCTATCGCGCTGGCGGCTGTTCAGGTGCTCACAGCAACCTAATCAAACTGTCATCACGATATCGCCCATCTGGGTTTTCGATTCCTTGGCGTAGGCAAGGACATATCTATCTTATTTCGTTGACGGAGCCCGAAACTCTGTACTTCCTTCTGTATTTGCTTGGTTAGGGAAACTCCGAGCATCGTCCTTTCCAAAGCGCGTTGGACGTCGCTGACAGCATGTTCATCCTGCTTTCGTAGAGTCCAAGTCTCCGAGGCTTACGGCAATGCAGAAAAGAGAACAGTCTCGAAAAGGCGAGCGCGGAGCCGGACGTTCTTTGCCTTTTTCACTACTCCTTCGATATTCTAAAGTACATGGCGCGCTTCCTTCTGCTCAGCCCCGGAATTGGTTCATTCTTCTCGGTGACTTCTCGATTTAGGTACACGTAGCAAAAACATTCGAAGATATTCGTTCCGCTTAGCGTAGAGGATCAGGTGCCAATCCGTTTCCCCTGACCATCGCCTTCGTTAAGTTTAGTCTCAAACTCGGTCACTTGGTTCCGCCTGCTCAATGTACAGTGTTAGAAGTACAAAGTTGTCTGCAAAGCGGAGGTGACGTATCGCCCTGCCAAACCTCTCTCTTCGCGCTGATGACGACTTTTTGATAGAATGGTGAGATCTCGTCGTGAAGTTATTGATGAACAGTGAGGCTGTGATCATTGTATTGAACCCTCCCTGACACTCTGCTAGCTCGCATGGCCTTCATCTAATACGGATCGTTCTCATTGATATCTCATGTGATATGATAATGTATGATAAAGCTGACCCGCCGCTTGCATTCTCTCAAGTTTGGAAGCTCTGGTCCAAGCAATTAGTTGATTTTCAAACACACACGCTTCGTGCACGCGCTACCCTCCGTAAGCCGAGTCTTGCTGAAGTCCTCTGCGTTCATGCAAGATGGTTCGTTCTTCTCCTGTTCCAACTCGACTGTGTGTTTTCACACAAATTGCGCTCATTTCACGCATCGCCACCTCCCCCTTCGCCCTTCATTCGCTCCCCGCGGGCGGAATCCAGTTTAGAGACTTCCTAAAGCCTACCATCGGTGTCTTAAACCTGCCGATCACATTAGTATCAAATTTGAACGTCAAATTGGTCCAAATTAGCAATTTTCGCGTATGTCCCTTGTCCGCTCCCCTTCTGGGTGGGGTCAAGTCGTGCCACCTCCCATCAGTGCTCCCATCCTGCCACCCGTACTTTTATCAAATTTGAGCTCTCTAAGTTTTAGGGAACAGGAGTTGTGAACCTCCTCTCGAGCACAAATTTTCGCTTCGATTTCCCACCGACCGCTCCCACTAGACGGAGTCTACACATGCCACCTGTCATCAGCGTTCTTCAATTGCCGACTGTACATCTTCCAAATTTGAAAACCCCAGGTCTAAATTAACAATTTCACGCACATTCCCCTGGGCAGTATCAAGTCTTATCTCCTATTATCGTTGTTCCCATTCTGTCGCCTACCCGTATTCCTAACGAATTTGAAGCCCCTCGGTCGCAAGAACCAGGTGTCGTGAATTCGCCCCAAGCACATCTTATCGCCCACGTCCCCCCTCCAATGGGGTGGAGTCTACCCATGCCACCTTCATAAGTGTTCCCATTTTGCCACCTTTTTTCCAAACTTCAACGCTTTGGGTCCAGGGAAACAGGGGTTGGAGAAAAACACACACCGATATGCACAATCCACATGTACACCGACACTCACATAGGCGCAAACACACGCATACACACACCAACAAATCAGAAAGCAAAAACGCGACATGACTAGGGCAGATGTGCAGGTTAGAAATCCGATAGGGTACCGTAAGATTACGGCGCTCGACCACTTTCCTTCGATAGCCTCCCATCTCGTTTTTTCGGATTCTAAAAAGTTTTTCAGCGGAGTGAAACTCTGATGTCAGCTCTGCTCATCCCATTGCAAGCCCCACTCACGTCAGTGCATGCTCCACACACTAGTCAAATTTGGCCGCCGTTTTTTGGTAATCTCCTATCACTTTGCCTGCTCCTAGAATTTTTGTAGAAAAGCGCGCACCTTCTATCCAAGAACGCGTTCCCCAACCTTCGCTGAATTCCCGATGCATAGCACACCTCAGAAGTTGCTCACTACTGGCCGTAAGACCTTTTGTTACCAGACATTAATTTAAAACGTCCCACACACTTTCAGATGGGGTGAGCCACCCCCGTCTTATTTGTAGATTCGTCCCCAACTTTTGCTCATTTTTTCTCGCCTCCTGAGCATGGCTGAAGCCCAGTCAAATGTCTCTACCTACCTATTCCGGAATACTCCCCATTGGGCCATTTCGGTATATGCCCCGCCCTCTGTAGGGTTTCGTTGAGCCGTTATGTACTCTGTTGTTTTCACCCTAGGCCATCCATGGCGAAGTTGACCCAACTCGTGATCGCGACAGACAAAGATGCATACAACAGACAAACAAACAAGCACACCAAACTTGTGGTTCGTATATTATAGGGATGGTTTCTATACAGTAGTGGTTCTGCCAGTCATGTTGAGGATGACGCGTATAAAAAGGGACCGAGGCCGTACAATTCTTCATCGGCGTGGTGGTACGTCGAATTTCGGAAAGAGGAACTGAACACATCCGACGTATCCGTCTTGCCTATGATGGTAGTTAGACAGGTAGACTTGCTGTCGAAGAGACCAGAGTAGAAGTCGCAGATGACCATCTTCTGCAGTAACTGTTACGTCAGGACGAAGGGAAGTTATCTAGGTTCTATGATTAACGAAGCTCTGGCGGGCTTCCCAGCCACGGCTGCTGCTCTTCTCTCTTTAGATCTTCCGTTGTCGCACCTCTGCATAGCTTCGCAAGTTAGGACGTTAGCTGGCTATTGCCCGCTGCTCGTGCGTTTCTACGCTGGTGAATCAACTCGAGTTCTCGAAGAGAGGCGTTTTTTTTATATTTGAAACTCTCTGTTTCCTGGCTCTACGTTCATTTCCTAAACTTCGCAGCCTCCTACCACGTGCGGAAAAATAGAATCCAGCGCGAAGACCTGTTCCCGTTTAGAACTTCGGAACAACAGCGACGTCAGTTGGGCAAAACTTTTGATCAAAGATTATGTGATCTAAGTTCATTATGGAACTGACCATCAGGTTACTCCCATGTCCATCGTAAATGAGAGGGCTTCCGAAACTGCGAGTTACCATGAATACTGGGGCATGAATACTGGGGTTGACATGACAAACTTGGAAATTCTTTGACCCTGCTCGTTCCAATCCTTTCAGTGAGTTCCGATATGTAACTCTTCTGACGTTCATCATGTTCTGGTTTTTATGTTGAGATCACCGACGATGACCTTAAGGAAACTGAGGGCAGTTTAAAACGCTTCCAGTCTTTCCACTTCGCAGTTTGATGTTAGTATGTAGGCAACTAAGATCGTCAGAGCCGAGATCGAGCCACATCCTCTCAGTTGCTAATGTGCGATTTAGGTTGTCAAGTTTTGTACGAACTGATGGCCGAGTGTGTTTCTACCGCCCTCTACTACCGACTCCTCTGCTGTAGCATGTTCCGAGAAACAATTCTTCACCAGTCTCGAAAACTGCGTGCAGCGAACGATGCCTTCTCGTCTTGGTCAGTCGATGAAGTCATACTTGATCTAACTGGTCTGCATCACCGAATTTCCAGTGCATGTTTCCAATGCCAATGTGTGCGCTTAGAAATTGCGAATCTTCATCTTAGCCTCTTCCTTTTAAGCAGTCTGTTATGACTCTGAGATTTTAGCAACCTCTTCTGTCTCACCCTACGCTGCCGTTGTGGGGGCTCCTTCAGGTCTAGGGAAATGAGACCTCCTTGTGTCACTGTTTGCATTACTGTTTGCATCATTGTTACTGTCCACCAGTAGCTTTGCAGGCTCTGACGCGGGGTGGGTTGACTTGCCAGGCTATCGAGGCTGACGACGGGCTCTGATTTTGGAAGAAGCCCTGGAAATAAAACCCGTCCCTCGAATTTGCTTGCATCCTTGGTTGAGTACCAGCGACCTCTTGTCGCCCTACGTAATTTCGTCACTACCCGGCTATAGGACCCTCAAAGGTAGACCCCTGTGAAGGAGATGCGTAGGATTCAATTTCATGCCCAAAGAAAAAATGCAACATCAATGTACAGCATATTCACCATCATTATCGACGACCCGTTGCCAACGACTACCCAGGAAGTGAATGTATCGCCTTCACCATTTCCTGGATCCCGAGCTGTGTTATCGTCGAGACATGATATCTTGCATAGTCGTCAGGTACGTAAGCATTCATGTTCCGTAGAGGTTATTGGAGCTTTTCGGCAAAATTGGAAGGAGGGAGGAGCATTCATAGTCAGTAAACCTCGCGAGCGCGCCGGCATTCGCACAGCATGATCTCCCTGCTGGACAGATCTGATCTCACAGCCGATTCAAGCTTTTCTGCTGTATTCAGCCGCTAATGTCTCCCCCTTCGATTCACCTGAATGCATAACTTCTCATCTCCTGTAATAACGTTGTCCAACCTGACCGCTCAATGGGAGAGTGGTAGAGAAGTTGTAGACAGTCTTCCCCGTGCGTTCCTTCTGGTACTGGTAAACTTATGAGAAATCCACTGGCTGAACTTCAAAACTTGTCCGAGGGAACGAAGACCTCTGCTTAACGAATCTTCGGAGCAGCTGAGAAAGGGAAGCGAGTTGTTCCGTAAAGATTCGCTCTATCAGGGAGCATAGCCGATCTAAATCCAGGGCATGTAGCCTTCCAGGCGAAGTTTGTCCTTAAGTCATATCACCTGAGCGGAATCGTACTGTTTTGCCACCGTGCGACGGGAGACAGCGCAACGACTCAACGCGGACAGATATTGTGCGTAGCTTGTGACCCAATTAGAACTTATAAACCATAGGTTGGCAAAGTGAGGCTTCTCATCCATCATTTCTTAGAAGATATCAGCTCAAACAGACGCAATCAATATCTCAACAAGATTTCGCGAAGTGGACTACAGTGCAACACTGGTCGCACCGAGTATAAGATAAATATAGAAAAGTTTCAGCGGTGTCAAAACAAATTAACACAATTTTTGAGACAACCGACTCTGGTTAGTGGGTGTAGTATGTATGGGCTCAACGATTGTGATTGATTGATTATATTATAATCTAGTTACTCCCACATGATCTCAACTAGTAGATGACAAGAAATTGATTTGAAAACAAATGTGTGCGCCCGCTCATTCATAATACTTAAAACATAAGTATCATCTAGGTACAAGGTTGCGATGAAGATAATGGCTACCTTTTACACGAAGATGATCCGAATCGCATACCAATCAGTCAATTGGGCAAAATCGGTCATGCCTTGAGTAGCGACAACTCCGATTTACCAGCCATGGGACAAGATTCGCTGCTTCGAGTATTCTATCCCAAAGGTCACGGCGAAGGAGAGAATCGACTTTTACAGAATGATGTAGTTATTTTAGACAGGTAAAATACCACTAGTTGATTTTTTTTCCTTTTATTTTTACTATATTAACACGTTGACGACAACGCGGAACACATATGTCCCGCGTTTTGCAGGCCACGTGGGACAGCGCGGGACATATGTGTCCCGCGCTCATTTCCCAACTTTCTTAAGCGCATGCGTGAATTATTAGAATGTTTTTCGTGTTTGTATGACAGATCGAACAGTAACAAAGCTGTAAACATAATGGTCCATAAAATGATCAGATATGCTCCATCTTTGCACAGGTTTTCTGAGTCTCACAGAATTTTGAGCCTACTTTGAACTTCAGCATTTATATTGAGATCAACAAAACAAGTATAATAAGAGCAATGGAAGCAAGCTATTGATTGTAAGTTAGAAGCAGAACAATAAATGTTTTCTCCTTTCAACAGTACTCATTCTCATTGAAATTCTTCATTTTGTCGAATCCCGTAGCTATTGGTTTCTCTAACGATAAGGCCAGAATCTCTCTATTCAGAAACAATTCGTAGAAGTCTGTTGGTTTCTGACAGTCATAAACAACATCATGTAAGCCGGAGACACCACTAAAAAACCAAGCATCGTGCGGCGAAGCATCGCTTAACCACCATGCTTTCGCTATCGGATTGTTCTTCTTCTAATTTAGATTCCATATCTTCTTCCATATCATCTACTTCTTCTTCAGTAGCTCCTTACTCTCCGTCGTCCGAATTCGCGCATTTTACGGTAATCTGGATCTCATAACTTCGCACTGCAGTGTCAGAAGATGGTCGAGTTGTCCAAGTCTTTTTCTATTCCAGCCATTTGTATGTCCGTATATACATTTGTTAGAGCGGGATATTTCTTATGCAGAACATTTTTGCGTGCTTTTCATTTTATTATTCAACTTACTTAAGTAGCGATAATTAGTTGAAAGTAGGTCTTACACTCAAGCTTCGAAAAACGCGCCTCAAGGGACAGCGCGGGACATATGTATCCCGCGGTCGAAGCTGCCGCAAAATTGCGTCTGTCCCACGCGGCCAAAAATGTCCAAACGTGCATTGTCGTCAACGTGTTAAATGCGCTCGCGTCTACCTGATTGTTTGTATTTGTTTGTTTGTTTGCATGTCGGTCACAATATTTGCTATTGCTTGAAGAAGCACTGGAGAGATCGGGTCAAGCTTGGGATGGTTGGGGCCTCAGGCAAGGTCACCATACCACAGAGGGATATGCACTGGTACGATGCATGTTCCATTTCCCATGAGTAGGCTTTTCTGGGACATGCGTGTTAGATGTAGATATGATCTCTGGTAGATGCGTTCTCTGTTAACGCGTTAGTGTGCGGAGTCTAACCGATATATTATATAGCGCGTTGTGTTTCTGTTGGTACAGTGCCGTTCAAAAAGAAATCACCTTGAACCTTTTTTGCCATAACTCATCTCGAACTCAATGTTTTCGACTGATTTTTTGATATGTTGTCAACAGTGATGGTTTTAATAGTTCCAACAAAGAACTCAGAAAACTTTTTTATTTTGTCTGAAAGGGCACTTTTCACATTTTTCCTGAACAGGACGAAATGACGTAGGTTTCAACAATTCGAAATTAATCACTTGACTTGAACGCTGTCATCATGAGATTAAAACCTAATTAACCACTAGACAGATACTTTGTAGCGAAGCCGTTGGCATCGATAACGGCTTGTGGGGCCTAGATTCGATCAACTTGTTGATCAGCATTTGTGACTGTTCTACTGGCTATACTTTTCTTGAGTTCCTGTCACGAGGGCTCAATGATGTTAGGATCAGGAGACTGGCTGGGTCGGTCGAGGCATCGGATTTTCCGATGGGTCAGCCACTTGCGCCCCCCTCTTAGATCTTGGGGGTGGTTTTCCTGCTGGAAAGTAAATTTTTTGCCGTGCACAGGACGGGCGAAAGGTAGCATGCATATCTACAAAATGTCTGCGTACATCTGTTGATTCGTAGTGGCAGGAATATGGCGCAAGGACCCCATGCCTAAACTCGGAAATCATCCCCAAACCAATAATGAACTGAGAGTTGTCATTTGGTATCTAGGGTTTGAACCTTGTATTTCAGAAGGTCGTCTACGAACGAAATCCCATTTGTACTAAGCGAAACAATCTTCGAATAGTCGCTCTAGATCAGTTTGCGTCATTGGTCGAAGGGGCAGTGGAGGTGCTTCCGCGCCCATTAAATTCGAGCTCATCTGTTTTTCAGAGATCTAGGTACTTTTTCACAGACTTCCACATATTCCAGCATCCCACAGGCGTCTGTTGATGGTACCTCTAGATGGTAGTGACGTCGCCATCGTCGGTACTTCGGCCATATATCGGAAGACGCTCGTCTGGAATCTTGGGTCGATGCACAATTAATCTCCCTGCCGCCCCCAGGAGCGGCAACCTGTGGCCTTCCCGAGCTGGCTTGTTTGATTGGGCCTGTGAGAAGCTCAATACTTCCGATAGCAACCGTAATCGTAGACATTGCCACAACAAAGAACCTTGGACTTTGAGCATGAGTCAACTCCCACAGCAGTGTATGCTTACAACGCAATCCCATTCTTCCCACGAGGTCGGTAATAAGTTTCTATGGCAGGGCATTCCTTCCTCTTTCAGCGCGTGTGACAAATACTGGATGATCATTGGTGCATTTGATCGTGCGCTATGCACTACCCAGTGCATCCCACACGTGTGTAATGGGATGCAGATCGGGAAACAGCAGGCCCCTCCTTTCGCCCGTATATTCTCGTTAACAAGGTTCTTCCACTTGTGCTGCTCGATGCGGTTGTGCATTGTACTCCGTAAAAATGGACTTCGGGTACATTTCAGCCCTGAAGAAACGAGCATGAGGAATGGGTTCCTGGTCACAGAAATGTTGACTGGTAAGGATTGAACTTCAAAATGTGGGGGTCAGTACGACCATGCAACATGACGCCTCATCATACGAGGAAACCTCGACTACTGTAGCGATCAGGGTTCGACAATCTTCTAAAAGAGTTGCGTGTTCCTTCTCGTGATATGGATGCATGCAGAATTTTTGCTCAGACCGTATCTGCTGTCATCGAGATCAGCGCACGACTCAATTCTTCATTAACGCATTCGCAAAGCTCCTGGAACTACCTAACAATCTCGTCGATGCTTGAGGTTCAAATGAGCACAACATGGCGGTCTTCTGGTGAGCAGTTCGCTACCTAATAGTCGTCGTGCCACTGTATTGCGTGAGATGACTGACCTTGAAGTCCTTTCAAATGATATGGCATTGCACTGAAGCTGATTGGCGTGGGTCTCTTCTCGCGTGTTGCACAGTATAACTATCATCCCTTGCTTTAATTGACCTTGGTCGACCACCTCCTCTCCTTCAGGCAGTAGTACCAGAAAATTCGGAATGCCCTTAATGCAAATACAAATAATGTTATGTAATGTAATATGAGAAAACCGTAACAGGAATATCCGTTGCTAAAATGTTTCTCATTGCAGTCCGGGTGTAGATCTATCACCAGAATTCGACAGTTGGATCGATAAACATTGTTTAGATGCAGATGTTTTCGTATTGGTGTTGAATGCGGAGTCAACACTCACGCAAGCAGTACGTACTTCTAATTATAGTTTGACTTGTTCATAAAATTGTTGAGACAATAATTATTAAGAGCCCATGATTGTGATTTTTTATTATGATGATGATCTAGGTTCTTTAGGAAAAAAGTTTCTTCTACCGCGTTGCAAAAAAACTCAGTAAACCAAACGTGTTTATTTTGAATAATCGTTGGGATGCCAGTGCGGCAGAGTCTGAACACGTTGACGATGTGCGTTTTTCTGGTTCCAAGTACCATATATTTGCAACTAGAGTGAATGTTTTTCAGGTGAAGCAGCAACATTTGACTCGTTTCCGCCAATTTCTTGTTAACGAACTGGAGGTTGCTACTGACCGTGACGTTAAGGACAGAATTTTCTTTGTTTCATCGCGAGAGGTAAATTGAGCGGTTGGCTTGATTGAGCATGCATTCAAACACTTTGTCTTGACTTAAATTTTCTAGTTCTGAGCTTTGAAAGAATCAGATATTAAATCTTAATCCATATTTAATTCTATTTTTTTTATTCATTCAGGTTCTTGAATCCCGGTTGAAAGCACGGGGTTTGTTGAAAAATCCCTACCAAGTTGATGGTCATCAAGTTCGGGCAATGGAGTTTGAGATGTTCGAAAAGCAGTTTGAGCACTGCATATCGAGGTTCAGTTACGAGTCCCGCCTTTTGTTAGTTTTATTGAATTGCTTTGATTTTTCAGATCTGCTATCCGAACGAAATTCGAAGCCCACAATCGGAGAGCGAACGAGATAATAGCAAGAATGCGTGCAAATGTTGATGTTGTTTACTCAGCCGCAAATCGCAACAAGGAGTTTCTTGAGAAGCAACTTCAAGTTCGTCTCCAGTTTTGATGCCTAACTACGTGGTTGTTCATAGCAGCTCTAACATTTTGCTCTACTATGACAGCTGCTGGTTATTGTTTTAGTTTGCGGTGCGACTTTCATTGAAAAGGTTTTAAGTTGTAGGCAAAGTAGTTCAGGTTCTGAATGGGTTCGAATTTGTACCTTGCTTCCCAGCAGCTGATCTTATCTTACAGGGTTCCTTGCACTTCGCGAAAATCTACATCTACACTGGCCTATAGACGATACACTGCTTTATATAACGCACTGTGTGTCTGTTCGTTTCTATGTGTGTTTGCGTGTAAGTGTGTGTTTGACCGGGAACTCATAACTTCTATTCCTGTGGATCTAGAGAGTTCAGAGTGATAGAAGTTCAGGGGTAGGATGGGAGTACTCATGGTGGATGGCAGGGCTGGACTTCACAAAAAGGAAGGAGCGTACGCAAAATAAATGCCCTACCGGAAGTTCGTGGCCCCTCTTCCAGTGAACATAGAGCGTTCAAATTTGATAGGCCACAGACGGCAGTATGGGAATGTTCTTGTAGGTTGCACAACTGTACTCCGCCAACTGAGGCGAGGCGTCCAAAATTGTTAATTTGGACGTGAGGCGTTCAAATTTTGATAGTGGTACAGGTGGCAGAATTAGGACCCTGATGGTGGGTGGTAGAAAGTGACCGAACTGAATTCCGTCCGAGCGTAGGAGGAATATAGGGGGATCATGCGTAAAATGAGTGAAATTCGAGTAACTTGACGCAGCCAAGTTTCTTAAGCAACACATGAGTTCAGCGGGATTACACTCATGAGGGGCGAGGCGGTGTGTATGTGTGTATATGTATGTGTGTGTAAGTGTGTGTGTTTAGCCGAAAGTATTTAGTTCTACTGGACCAAAGTACCTAAAGATGGAGGGGACGTGGGCGGCAGGCCGATTCTACACCACGAGAGTATTGCCTAGCGTTGGCGTGGCGTTCCGACTTGTTATACTGAAGACGTCTGCTCGGTACATCTAATTGGTTTTTTTGTCAATTGATGGCTAAAACTACAATTCGTAGTGTGAATGGTATTAGAAAGGTGCGGAATCATGTGTGGAACGTTTGGCCAGATGGTAAGGAAACCTGTACCAATTCTGAATACTTCTTCATTACCTTTTTTTACTTTACTTTCTTTGTTTCCTTTGTTTCTTTGACCTTTTCGGTTAATCATTGCCCACTCGCTTAACATGGTGAATAGGTTAGCTGATCAATCAATTCGCCATTTGTATATTTCATCCATTTCACAGGACAGCACCATTGTGTTTAATAACTGCCGAACTAACTTTGCACAATTCGAACGGGCCTACAGAGAACAAACTGAGCGTCTGAGAGCTGAAGTTCATTTGAAGGTACATAGTTTTCCTTATCGCACGGTGAAATAACCCAATCACATTCACGTGACTGAAATGATTCTGGCTCTATGGTTTTTTTGTGTGTGAAAGTTAGAATTTTGTTTCTTTTGTCACCAGTTTTGACTTTGTTGCAGGTTTCCGCAGATTTCAGCGAGGAAATAATGAGGCTTGAGGCTATTGTTGACCGATTCAACATGCCATTTATGGATACTAAGGAAGGAATTGCGGAATATAAACGGGTAATAGTTCTGTTGTCGGAAAAAACTTTCACTCTGATTTTTATCTCTCGTATCTGATGCGATTTCGAAATTTTTCCCCTCTGAATTCCTGTTTATCTTTAATAATTCTTTTTCCGCCTAGGCGCTAGCTGATTTCACCGATAAATGTGTCAGTTCTGATCTTGAAGCAAGGTGCACTGGTGGATTGATGTCTCGGATATGGAATCTCGAGAATGATATGTTCCGTGAGTGTTACTTCCTGAAAGGCCATTTTGCTTTCCGAAAAGCGTGAGGAATTGGGGCCGTATTTCTTGTATCTGACGCAACCTAATCTGAACCGTTTCTGGTGCTCTTGCACTATACCATTGTATGTATACAATGTATCAAAACAACCGCAGCCGCAATTATTATCATTATTCACTATGATTAGTTTTAGTTTGCCTTATCTGTAAAAACTTCCATTCCCGTAATCGAGAAGCCCTCAATTTGAACTATTCTCCCTTGCTACTGATCTACGGCTAACGACCGCATTCTCATGAGCAATACTCTGTTGATGTTTCAACAAATTTTTGATCACAGCTCATCCAAATATCAAATATCTGCCATACATTATTAATGAATGGTGCGGAGAAGTCTGAGTGCCAAGTTGCGTCCAATAGTATTTATACTAGCTAGATCCATTTCTGGAATTTATTTATTTATATACACTTTGAAACAACAAGTAAACGTAACGACGACATATAACGACAACATATAGTCAAAAAACAGACGACGTCCATTTCTTGCATAAAAGAAGATTGAGTGCTCACTGACATGTTTTTCCAAAGTAACACGCTCAACGGACACAGAATATGTAGAATTGGAACATGTTCACATTCTAAGGCTGGAGGATCTTGACCTGCATTGACTTTGACTGTCGCCAAGGGCCATGGCAAGTTATTTGAGCTTCCTTAATGGGTTCACTTGTGATGGGGCACCCTCTACAACTCCATTGAAACTCACCCGCTTTGGGTTCGGCATTCAGCCGATACAATTTCTGAATCTTTAGAACGCCCTATCTAGGCCATTTTCCACAGCGGACAGCGCCACATATGGTATACGAGGGGGTCACATATTTATCGCAGGGTGATATCTGGTATTTTCTCTGCCTTCATAATTGCAATCTTGAGCTGTCGATGATAGACGATAAGCCTTCACCTTGAAAATGTAACGTGATAAGTCCGGACACAGACACAAAGTTAAGCTCCATTCCTGACCACCGTTTTGATCAAGATGGTCTTTTCTTACATATTCAACTTGACAGTTTTTCAGAATATGTAACGCAGATCTTATCCCCACCATATCAACATAAGTTAGAGGAGGTGTGGAGGTATCGCGCGCCGTTTAAATTCAGCATTTGTGTTGATGCACCTGCACTGACGAAGTAAGCCTTCTGTTTGATTATGCAACTTTATCTTTTTTTTTTTTTTGATAGTTGGAAACTGGTGTTCCAAGTCTTTAATATTTTAATTTTTGGAAAGTTTCTGTTCCTCTTACTGCATCTCCACGAAGATTGTGCATAAGTTTTGTGGTGCTGTCTCGATTCCAATTATCTCACAACTTGCAAATATGAAAGTGTTCGGTATGTCTCCGGAGAAAGTCTCCGGAGTCTGCGGTATATGCGAAGCCTCCGGATGACTCTTTCGAGTTGTAAGCGAGCCGCTGCTTGGGCGCAGTAACAACTACTTAATTTGGGAAGTCAATTCTTCAACAGGTTATGTACTACGAGTGCCTTCTAAATAACTCCTTTGAGACAGCTATCATTCATGCTGGGCTTAAAGGCAATGCCTTCTCATATTCTACAATATCTTACTGGCTCAGAAATTTCGAATCTGATGTTAGGAGCCCTGTTGTAGTGGATGTTCAACGGCCTACGAGACGGCGGAATCTTCGGTGCACCAAAAAGCAATTCGAAACCTGGCCCACGAGCAGTCTGTACTTTGATACTAGGAAGAATCCACACTTATCCGACAGACCTTTGTTCTATCGTACCTTCCGAAAACCAACTTGGTTAGGGCCTATCATCAACTCGATGCGACGAACAAGGTCCAAAATGCCAGTCTCTTCCATTCTCTGTTTCGCTGACATCGCTTGTCGGTGGAGATGAAGAGCTCGGTGCCCTACGTCAACCATATAAGGAAAATACAGTGACTTCCTGAGGGAGAGACGTCAGTGGCGGAAGGAAGAGCCGGAGGAAAAGTGTTGCTGTGCTGCTGGTGACACTGCACAGTATGTATCACTGATGTGATGGCTTATTTAAAAAATTAGTTGGGATTCTGTGACAACTTAATTCCAAAACCAGCAAGTCGCGCTGCAGTGTGATGATGTTCGCTCGCGTGTTACAATAATCATTACGGTGTTTGACTAGAAGACTGTCTCATGTTGAGTATTTTGCTAAACTAGCGTCACCAGTTTTAAACTGGTGACGCTAGTTTAGCAAAAATCAAAAAAAGCAAATTTAGCAAAAACCCTATCACGCTTTACTAGGCTGATTTCGACTCGATGGTGTCCCCTATGCCATGCTTAGGGGAGTCACTGGTTCATGCTGGAAAGGAGTCTCAGAAGAATTTTCTATCGCTTATAGAAGCAGCTCACGAAACACTGCATACAAATGACAGAAAGCAATGAATTTTTTTTTATCTAGCGTCCATTTCGCACTGTCGCATGCACGCTGTTCTTGTGAGTCGTCTCTACTTCTTTCTGTCTAGGGTGTCTATCCCTACTTCAGTTTCCGCAAAGTCCTTTTCGATCGTGTTCCACCTCCACTCTCTGAGGCTCTTTGTAATTGTATCCCTTGAGCTTCAAATTCCATTGTTCCACCTAATAGGGTAATCCTGTGGGTTTCGGAGTATCTGCCCATACCTTCGAAGCTGCTCCCTCGTACTCAGCTGGAAAGGAACTATGTGTATGACCGCCATGTAGTCCTTGTTCTTACCAAGTCATGCCCAATTCGCGTTCAACCGCAAGCCGAGTCGAGTATCCTTATTTTAGCGTAGTGAAGTTTTCTTTGATGGTTTTGCGGGGGGGGTCAGCACTCGCTGCCGTAGAACTCGCAGACTTCACGAATGTAAGTCACCTTTTTCATTGCGTGTTCTGGAGCAGTTTCTGTCGCAGTATAAGCCACTGTGTTCCCTCCACTCCATACATGCCGCTTTTATTCTGCCCTTTACAACCTTATCCATGTTGCCATCTAGGTTTTCCGGAAGACTCGGAGTCCTCTACCAATTTGACTTCTCAAGGATCATCTTCGACTACTGTGCGCACTCCTCGGAGCTTAGGAATTTGCTTCTTTTCACTTTTGGCTGAAGCCATCTCTCTGCCAGCTTAGCAAATTCTGTAAATTCTCCGCTTCTAATTGAGTTCTCCGCTCTCCCACTATCAGAGCAACGTCATCACTGTAAAGGATCGTCGTCTGTGGTCCATCCATGAATCCTTTTCATGATTTCTTTCGGTGATTGATGCAGAAGCGAATATATCGTACAGTAATGTCTGTTTTTTCTATTATGTTCTATACTTGTGGCGGAGGTGATGTAGTGGCAAATGGCGCGCTATCATGGTTCGGGTTCTATTCCCAGCTTGATATCCACCGAGGAACCAGGACTTCCATCCATCCAGAGTCGGTTACTTGGTAACAAACTCGTCTGGGAGGATAAATGCACTGTCTTGTACATCGGCTGGCTACCGTAAGTCATTGTATCGTCCACATATGCATTCAGTACGCCACTACCATTTTAATGGAAGCCGTATGCTGCGTCGATCAGACAAGATTAATTATTGTCTGAAGACTATACTTTAATGTCTGTTCTATTAGGTGATAAAGTTTTATGGAGAGTTAAGTGTGATGCAAGACTTACGCACCAAGTTGGCTTTAGCATCACTGCATTCATTACTCAGTAGATGTACAGTTCAAACGAGAACTCCTTCAATATTTTCAGAGATTTTCACGAGGATCTGGAATTTCGTTTCACATTTGGTTTGTCTGCTATTATTCGTCGCATTATTGCCTATAGATCAGGTCAACCTGTGACGGCAATTCAGACCAACCTCCTAACACCAATAGCGTTGGTCAGCCATAATCTTTAATGCGACTGTGACTGTGTGATACATATCAGTGAATTAAGTTTCCATTCCAGCGGAATGTTGGTCGTAGCAATGAAGATTTGCACGCTGAGGCAATGCAAAAGGCTGTCGAAGAAAATGCAATGATGACGCAAATGGTATTAACCTCAGCCAGCTATCTGGCTAATGGGAGTATCGGGCTGCTGATCATTGGTGGAATTGTTTATAGGGCTGTGGGCTGGCGGGTAAGTGGACAGCAAAAAAATGGTTCTTCCTTTTTAACATTGTTCCTTTATAGTATTTTCGGGGAGTACATTTCGAGTGACTTCTTGAATACGGCACCTTTATGAGGGATTTCAGATAATCGCCGTATCCGCAGCAACATATGGGGGCCTTTATTTGTGGGAGCGCATGCGATGGAATTCCCATGCAAAAGAGCAACATCTCAAAGAGCAATTTCGGGCACACCTCGCTGCGCGTATGCAACAAGTTGGAGCAGCACATACAACACATTGTGAAACACAAGCCATGCGGTGATTTTTAACTGCACAGTTTTCCCATATACATTTCCCTCCACATTTCTATTGGATGATTTGTAAGTATTTCAGAGAAATGGACCAGGTTTTTGATGGTCTTCGAGCAACTGTTGCAGGCGTGCATAGGGAGATGAAAGAGGAGTTGGACAACAATAAAAAGGAAATTGAAAAAGTGGATGGCACGCTGAAGAGCCTTCTTACGATCAAGTAAGTAAAATGCGCTTCTTGGCATGCTAATAAACCAACATTATATACTATTCATGACGATCAAAATTACTTTGCTTCGTTATGTTTTGCCTAATTATCGTCACAGTTCATCGCAATCAGTTCATTCAATCATTCAGTTTATTGCAAAGCGGATGTTATCAGAGCAGAGTTAGGTCAAGAGCAGAACTGTTCATAAAGTACAATTGCAGCTATAATTCCATTCTCAGATGGTACATTTTGCCCATAAGTCAGCGCCCGCCTATGAAGGAAAAACAAGCCACACAGTTGCTTACAAGTTGTCTTATTTTGGTCGTCATGAATAGCCGGATCCACAAACACTAATTGTCATTTATTATTTTAAGAGGGAAAACGGCTTTTCTTCTGCGAAGTTTGGAGCAGTTCTATTCGTCTTTCTTGCGGGCAGACTCTCCTTCACTTTAGAAGTGCTGGACCATTAAAGCGTAGGCCTCAGTTTCACATGAACTTTCAAGACTTTAGCGAAATATTCTTTAGTGTTTTTTTGTTGCAGAATTGGAGTAGAATAATCGTTGTGCTCTACAAATTTTCAAGCGAAGTTCAACGTGCTCAAGCTATCCGGGAAGGATTTTCAGTCTATGCAAGGCTCTTTTGATGTTCGCTTGTTTACGAGTTGAAGGAGTGCATACTGCAAATGCGTAGTATCGACTATTTTTCCCAAGTGATCCTTTTTAATTGGAAAACACGGGAGAAGTGCTTCTCCAAATTGCAGTCCAGTCATGATTGGTGTCAGCCCTTAATTCAATATGTAGAATGTTTGAGAAAGGTTTTACATGCTGAGCTTATCTGACGATAACTTTTAGCGTCACCCATTCTGCTCTCATCTTACTGCATTGTGCTGTTCAATCAAGCTATGCTAGGATATATCTTTCACAGACACATTCTCTTCCTCCCTTTCAGCATAACCACATCCATGTAGGAGAATAGTAGAACATTTCATAATTTTGCGTCCACATGACAAGAAAGCAACAGCTAAAAAGCTTTTGTAGAGTTAGAAGAGTAAGTTATTCTGCAATATAGTAGGTTCATTGTCAGCTTCCTCTTATTCGAAACATCAAACAATTCAACAACATTTTTATTGCATACATTATCATTTTTAATCTGTCCTATTAGCTTTCTCGTTAGTCTGTTGTTGTTTTTTCACTGAATCACATTTTTTTAAATGAGGCGAAGGATATTGTGTGATTGTATTACACCTTCGCTTGTTCAATATTCAGCTCCATTCTCAGTGCCGATATCGCATGTTTATCTTATATCTGAAATATTTGAACCATAGTCAGCCGAGGTGGCTGTTGAAAGTACATTGCCGTGCTAGTCATTCTGTGGACGTGCACCCACATGTAATTAATAGGTTATAAAAATGTTAAGCGCATTTGTGAGCCTCATATTCCTCATATCATGAGGGAGGATAGGTTTTCTCTCGCTGTTCCTCGCTACTTTGAGAAAGTTATAATTGAGAGATGTAGTCGGTTTTACTAAACATAATCTCGTCATCTATCAGTGTTGCTGGTAGAAGCTTTCGAATTTAGTCACAAAAGTGCTGTACGTTTATGCATTTGGTCTTCAATTTGCTCTTTTTACTCTAATGTGTGCTTACCTCGTCCTTGACCGAATGTTATCTTCTAAGCCCCAATTGCAGCATTTCTTAGCACACAAGGTTCGGAGCAGTTCTTAGATTTTCTTGTCCACATTGTGGTCTGTAGCGTAGTCCTAGGTCCTTCGATAAACCTGTTATTAAGTCGTTTTTCGTGCTCGAGAATTGCTGGAACATTCCAAGCTATTCATAAACTTCGCCTTTGATCGCGGTTATCTAGCATTTCATCGAAACATTTTCGCGTCCAGAAGGCGGTTTTGCCACTGGTAATGAGCTAATGGCCGTGTCTGACGAGGGTCTGAACGATGAAGGATTTGGCGAAATCAAGGCTGATGAATGTCGTAGTTACAATATCGACTTAATGAAGGAGGAGGTATATTTATAACATAATGTCAATGAAGTCTGTTCTGTTTATTCTTGATTAAGGCTTAACAATTATGAGAAAGTGCGAGGCACACCTACGGATGTAGGGATGCTTAGTGCTTCCATTTGTAGATGTGTCGCCAAATTCACCTTATTTCGTTTAGTGCGTGCTTTTGTATAGGCGAGGACTCTTCTTGTGATAGATTTACTCTTAACAATCTCTTGATGAGAGTCCCTTAGGAAAAAAGTTAGAAGCACGAAAGTACTTGAAGAGGCAATATGTAACTTACGCTGCGGAAACCACTCTTTCTTTCTAAGAGTGGTAACCGCTTCTTCTCGCCAACGCTCATTCGTGGACAGCTTTTGTACCATTCCATAGCCGCGATTTAATTACGGGCCCAGCGAATCTATGCTGAGCTCATGAAATTGCACCGCCCGCCTTGAGCGCGGCGAGTCGTGCCGTCATTAGAATGCTGATGTAGTGAAGTAGTGACGAAATGTAGCCGAGCGACTCACTACTGTGGAACCGCTGTCGTAAAATAAATTATTCGTATGAACTAACTTAAGTTACTCTCGCCCTTGTTGGTTCATTGATTTCGTATATGTTACGACGATTCCGGTTAATTTGCTTGATGTATCAAAGAGTAAAAACGAAAATTCACCTCGGCAATTTGTGTAACATAGTATTTTGATTCCTTTTTCTTTTTATTTTGCTTTCTGTTGGCTTCTTTTCCTCCTTTTCTGGCCTTTCCTTCCTTTTCTTCTCATATCTTTGTCCTCGGTTATTGCCCTTTACTTTCTGCTTCTGTGTCGTGAAACCGATTTTCGATAAAATGAGCACGAAAATTTCAAAATTCTGGGAAAACTTTTGATCTTAACTTTCTCCTATCCTTAGTACAAATTCTATGTTTCTCCGTAGAGCTCTATAGCTTCGAACTGCATCCATTGGTAGTCTAATTCTTTCGTAAACGCTGCTAGTTCAACGCAGTTTCTGAGCAACTGACCGAAACATCAGTTTACTACTGTAGGCTTGTTAGGTGGCTTCGCCCTGAAGTGCTAAGCGCTCCGTGACTAAGAGCAAAGATTTAAAGATCATTAAACTTTCCACTCATCCTCACTAAAGTTTTAATAGTGTTTTGGGGTAGATCAATCCGTTCCGGAAAAGGACAGTAATCAGGCAGGGCATAACCCCATTTTAGTGCGCGAATTCTCGCCCATCACATATACAACGCTTCGAGGTACGCAAGAGCCGAGTGCCGTACTGAATCTTCGTTTCTGTGTACCGGGATGCTTCACCGTATTGCACTTCAATTCCGAATCACGGTGACGATATGAATGTGTACGTGGCCTATCAGTGATTTGCGGCGGTCATCAAGTACAAAGTACAAGCATACAAGTCGATGTTGTTACGCTCTTGGTCGTTCCTGGTAGATAAGTCTCCTACCAAGTAACTGACGCGCGGAGGGAGAGGAATGTAAGCCTTGATTTGCTAGGGCGTTTATCTTTGATCCCTGGACCATGCGTGTGATAGTGCGCCACTCGGCATAATATTTTCCTCAAGTAAGAATTTAAGGAAGTAGGAAAGATCATAGAATAGCAAAATAAATGTTTCGAGTGTGCCCTTCGAATAAATGTTTCGAATGAGAATTACGATTTAACTTTCACAGATGACGATTTATGGACTAAACTTCGGCCTCGGACGGGACTCTGTAGTGTAGGGGACAGCAGTTAACAAAACATCAAGTCAGTACAGATTGTTATAATTCTGGTTGTCAGAAATTAGTTATGCACAGGTGAAAGTGGTGAAACTAATGACACATTTTTTCTTGCGAACGAAAACAAGCTGCCTGATAGTACCCATAATAACGTTAACTCAGCCATTGCAATTCCCCTCATCAATTTTCATTCAAAAACAGAAGGGAAGGACCTATTTACACAGTTTTTTATTAAAGAAGAAATACTTTGTTTCAAAAGTATGTGCACACTTAGCAAAAAACAAAAATATAACCGAGATCAGAAATCAATGGGGCCTTCCAAATTCCTGTAGTGGTTATCGACTACGAGGAGTGGTTCGAGAAGGATGGTTTCGTTACGGTAGGCTCTCTAGATATCTTTGAAATGAAAAATTTTAAGTGTGCACATCCTTGCGAAACGGCAACTGGACCGCTCCTTTTCATGCATTGCTAGATTCATTCGAAACCCTGGCAGCTATCGCTCACAACCTGTCCCAGGCCGTCCACGCCTTTTGAGTGCTCAGGACAGCAGGGGAATAGCCCATCTTGTGGCGAATACTTTTTTGTTTGTGAGTCAGATCCGAGCTCAGATAGGTTTATCTGTCTCGCGTACGACCGTTTGGCGCTCTATCCGTTCAATGAGCATATCGCACGTGAGACGATGAAGAAGGCTCCTCGATTCAATACTTGCCACAAGCCGACAAGGCTGGAGTTTGCTCGTCCAGACCATCAAAGAGCCTTCTCCGAAACTTCTTTACGAAAACACGAGTGCCTCTCGGCAAAGGTTCCTCCAGTAATGACGAAATCCATCCGGCCCGTCGAGATTGAACTTCTTTTTATCAGAGAAGATCACCTGAG